TTGCAGTTAACTAACCGGTTATAACCAGCCCTATTATACACCTTCAAAACGCACTTGAGAACGTCGAAAACGCTTAAAATTTGACTAAGTTACAGTCAAATCTCTAAAATATCACTCAAATGTGTAGACTTTCAAGGATAATTGCATAAATATGTCAATTCTTCACCGATTTTAGTGTGCTTGGGCTCGTTTTAAAGCTAGGATATGCAGAAATAATATCTATCAAGATACATATGAGCATATTTGCCTTGTTATAACTGATTCTTTATTTTTCAGTCCTAACCGGTTTGTAACTGCAAATAACTGACCGTAACCGGTTAGTTGCGGTCTGGTTAGGTTATTTTAGGTTTCGGGACAAAGGCTAACCAGTCTCAGTCTCAGTTAGAGCCCCTGGGCACCCAATAACTGGACCTAACTGGACTTTCGAACACTAATAGACACTGTATACTTAATACCAACACCAAGGACATTTTGAATATTTCAGGCAAGCAGGAGTTGTCAAAATAGATTTTGAGAGTGAATGCATGACAATTCCCCTGCTTGGGAGACTCAAGCAGAGATCTCATCTTCTAGAGTTTGGAGTATAGTGATTGGGGGGTAAATGACCATCAAAAAGACACTATTCTGGAAGCATTTACAGTGCAGATTGGCACTAAGGAAATGTATGTAAATAGACTATGCAAATCACTTTAAGCCATTAATTTTAGCCTTCCAAGGATTTGCAATTGGAGGGAACTTGTTTGACAGTGGGCTGCAATTACCAACTGTGATAGTAGTCTTCTATCTCTGAGCCAATCTACCTGGATAAAACTAAATTAGCATTAGTGCTTGGAAGTCTGGTCTTTTGTCAAATTTTGACAAGACTGGGACTGGGACTGGTCCTCACAGGTTGAAGAACCACGAAAAACTGGACTGAACCAACATCAACCAGTTCAGTGTGGTTTTGGTCAGTTTTTTACAGTTGAAAGACCGGTCTCAACCAGTTTCAGTCTGAACTGGTTGACAACTGGTCTTCAACCAGTCTCGGAGCTACTGACATAGGGAGAACATGTATATAATTGACTAAATACACTGTAGTACTACGTGAGGGGGGTGGGGGGGAGCACTTGCACTTCCTTGTTGCTGTCTGTTGTCAGCTGTCACCGTTCTTTGCATTGTCCTCCATCATCCGTCGTTGCTGCCACGTCATGTCATCGTCATCCACCTATCTCCATCGTCATTGCGTGGCCGTTGTCATGTGCTTGTCATTCCCAAAGGCGGCAGAGGGCGAGGGAGGTCTTCTCCATGTGCTGTCGACATAGCAGGCGCTCGTTGTTGTTGTTGTGGTTGGTGTGAGGTGGGTGTGAGAGTTGACGACAGTTGTGCATGGCGGGTGTTTGTTGTTGCCATTGTGGTTGGTGGTGTGGGTGGTGGCAGCCGTAGGTGATGTCTGGCAGGGGGGGGGCGTCGTTGTGGAGGATGATGTGGCGCACCATGGCCATGGGTGTCGTTGCTGAGCCTCCAGCGTGTGAGGTGGCAGTCGATGTGTGAGCATACAGGTCGTTTAGCCCATCGCTGGTGCTCACAATGCAAAGTGGTCATCATGAAGGGTGGTGATGGTAACAGGGAGGGTGGTGGTAGGAGGAGGAAAGTTGTGTTTGGTTACGAGTTGTGTTTGTGTTTTGTGTTTGTGTTTGGTTACGAGTTCCGGTTGAGACTGGTTAGACCGGTTTTTTGTCAGTCTTCACAGTCTTCAAATTTCCGAAATCGTGAGAGACCGAAGACTGAACCATGGTTGTGGTCTTTGACAGTCCTGGGAATTTCCGGTCTTGGGCAGTCTTGGTTCAGTCCAGTCTCAGTCTTTTTTCAGTCTTGAGACTGGACTTCCAAGCACTAATTAGCATGAAAGTGTCTAAGTGTGTTACTTGCTGCATTCAACATGAATTTGGATGTCTGGACTCTGTGTAAGGTGTTGCAGCCTGACAACAGATGAGCAATTTGTAAGTGATCTGACAGTGTCATGACCAAAAAAAAAAAAACATTAAATTTGCTGGAAATATCTTGAGATACAAGAGCATT